ACAAAGTCCCATACAGGGTGACAAAGTCCCATACAGAGTGACAAAGTCCTATACAGAGTGACAAAGTCCCATACAGGGTGACAAAGTCCCATACAGAGTGATTTAATAGTTCAGGGAAAATAAAATATTTAAACATAAAATCAAGATATGGGTATGGCTTACCTATGGCTGCTTTATTATACAGGACACGGGAATTGAATATTGTAACCTGGCTTAAATAGATTGCAATTCTCATGTACCAGGTCCTACTCTTTCGGATCACCGGATAGGGCTGTATACATTAATCAGCCAAGTCTACTGCCCTATACTTGCTGTAGTCTACAATGCACTTCGGCTTCTCCAGCTGCACAGTTCAACCTCTGACAGACACTGGCACTGTACTTATCTTATTCATTGCCGACATCATGTGTACATCCTTCCTATCTGTAAACCGAAGGGCCAGCCCTGTATCATGGCGGAGAGCTGAACAGGAAAATCTACTGCAGCTGCTGCTTCAAGGTTTGGGGGAAACCTCTTAAAGGGACACTATACTCACCAGAATACTTACAACTTGAAGGGACACTATAGTCACCAGAACAACTACAGCTTAAAGGAACACTATAGTCACCAGAACAATTACAGCTTAAAGGAACACTATAGTCACCAGAACAACTACAGCTTAAAGGGACACTATAGTCACCAAAACAACTACAGCTTAAAGGGACACTATAGTCACCAGAACAACTACAGCTTAAAGGAACACTATAGTCACCAGAACAACTACAGCTTAAAGGGACACTATAGTCACCAAAACAACTACAGCTTAAAGGGACACTATAGTCACCAGAACAATTACAGCTTAAAGGGACACTATAGTCACCAGAACAACTACAGCTTAAAGGGACACTATAGTCACCAGAACAATTACAGCTTAAAGGGACACTATAGTCACCAAAACAACTAAAGCTTAAAGGGACACTATAGTCACCAAAACAACTAAAGCTTAAAGGGACACTATAGTCATCAAAACAACTAAAGCTTAAAGGGACACTATAGTCACCAGAACAACTACAGCTTAAAGGGACACTATAGTCACCAAAACAACTAAAGCTTAAAGGGACACTATAGTCACCAGAACAATTACAGCTTAAAGGAACACTATAGTCACCAGAACAACTGCAGCTTAAAGGAACACTATAGTCACCAGAACAATTACAGCTTAAAGGACACTATAGTCACCAGAACAACTACAGCTTAAAGGAACACTATAGTCACCAAAACAACTAAAGCTTAAAGGGACACTATAGTCACCAGAACAATTACAGCTTAAAGGAACACTATAGTCACCAGAACAACTGCAGCTTAAAGGAACACTATAGTCACCAGAACAACTGCAGCTTAAAGGAACACTATAGTCACCAGAACAATTACAGCTTAAAGGGACACTATAGTCACCAGAACAACTACAGCTTAAAGGAACACTATAGTCACCAGAACAATTACAGCTTAAAGGAACACTATAGTCACCAGAACAATTACAGCTTAAAGGGACACTATAGTCACCAGAACAATTACAGCTTAAAGGAACACTATAGTCACCAAAACAACTACAGCTTAAAGGAACACTATAGTGACCAAAACAACTACAGCTTAAAGGGACACTATAGTCACCAGAACAATTACAGCTTAAAGGGACACTATAGTCACCAGAACAATTACAGCTTAAAGGAACACTATAGTGACCAAAACAACTACAGCTTAAAGGGACACTATAGTCACCAGAACAATTACAGCTTAAAGGGACACTATAGTCACCAGAACAATTACAGCTTAAAGGAACACTATAGTCACCAGAACAATTACAGCTTAAAGGGACACTATAGTCACCAGAACAATTACAGCTTAAAGGAACACTATAGTCACCAGAACAACTACAGCTTAAAGGGACACTATAGTCACCAGAACAATTACAGCTTAAAGGGACACTATAGTCACCAGAACAATTACAGTTTAAAGGGACACTATAGTCACCAGAACAATTACAGTTTAAAGGGACACTATAGTCACCAGAACAATTACAGTTTAAAGGGACACTATAGTCACCAGGACAACTACAGCTTAAAGGAACACTATAGTCACCAGAACAACTGCAGCTTAAAGGAACACTATAGTCACCAAAACAACTGCAGCTTAAAGGGACACTATAGTCACCAGAACAATTACAGCTTAAAGGGACACTATAGTCACCAGAACAATTACAGCTTAAAGGAACACTATAGTCACCAGAACAATTACAGTTTAAAGGAACACTATAGTCACCAGAACAACTGCAGCTTAAAGGGACACTATAGTCACCAGAACAATTACAGCTTAAAGGGACACTATAGTCACCAGAACAACTACAGCTTAAAGGAACACTATAGTCACCAGAACAACTACAGCTTAAAGGAACACTATAGTCACCAGAACAACTGCAGCTTAAAGGGACACTATAGTCACCAGAACAACTGCAGCTTAAAGGAACACTATAGTCACCAGAACAATTACAGCTTAAAGGGACACTATAGTCACCAGAACAACTACAGCTTAAAGGAACACTATAGTCACCAGAACAATTACAGCTTAAAGGAACACTATAGTCACCAGAACAACTGCAGCTTAAAGGGACACTATAGTCACCAGAACAATTACAGCTTAAAGGGACACTATAGTCACCAGAACAACTACAGCTTAAAGGAACACTATAGTCACCAGAACAACTGCAGCTTAAAGGGACACTATAGTCACCAGAACAATTACAGCTTAAAGGGACACTATAGTCACCAGAACAATTACAGTTTAAAGGAACACTATAGTCACCAGAACAATTACAGCAGCTTAAAGGGACACTATAGTCACCAGAACAATTACAGCTTAAAGGAACACTATAGTCACCAGAACAATTACAGCTTAAAGGAACACTATAGTCACCAGAACAATTACAGCTTAAAGGGACACTATAGTCACCAGAACAATTACAGCTTAAAGGGACACTATAGTCACCAGAACAATTACAGCTTAAAGGGACACTATAGTCACCAGAACAATTACAGCTTAAAGGAACACTATAGTCACCAGAACAACTGCAGCTTAAAGGGACACTATAGTCACCAGAACAACTACAGCTTAAAGGAACACTATAGTCACCAGAACAATTACAGCTTAAAGGAACACTATAGTCACCAGAACAACTACAGCTTAAAGGGACACTATAGTCACCAGAACAATTACAGCTTAAAGGAACACTATAGTCACCAGAACAATTACAGCTTAAAGGAACACTATAGTCACCAGAACAATTACAGCTTAAAGGGACACTATAGTCACCAGAACAATTACAGCTTAAAGGGACACTATAGTCACCAGAACAATTACAGCTTAAAGGGACACTATAGTCACCAGAACAATTACAGCTTAAAGGAACACTATAGTCACCAGAACAATTACAGCTTAAAGGAACACTATAGTCACCAGAACAACTACAGCTTAAAGGGACACTATAGTCACCAGAACAATTACAGCTTAAATAGTCACCAAAACAACTACAGCTTAAAGGAACACTATAGTCACCAGAACAACTGCAGCTTAAAGGGACACTATAGTCACCAGAACAATTACAGCTTAAAGGGACACTATAGTCACCAGAACAACTACGGCTATTGAATTTGTTCTGGTGAGTATAATCATTCCCTTCAGGCTTTTTGCTGTAAACACTGTCTTTTCAGAGAAAATGCAGTGTTTACATTACATCCTAGTGATAACTTCACTGGCCACTCCTTAGATGGCTGTTAGAGATCCTTCCTGGGTCATGGCTGCCTAAAATGCATCCAAACATTCAGTGTCTCCTCCCTCTGCATGCAGACACTGAACTTTCCTCATAGAGATTCATTGATTCAATGTATCTCTATGAGGAGATGCTGATTGGCCAGGGCTGTGTTTGAATTGTGCTGGCTCTGCCCCTGATCTGCCTCTTTGTCAGCTTCAGCCAATCCTATGGGGAAGCACTGTGATTGGATCAGGCTACCACTTCTGATGATGTCAGCAGACAGCTTGTTTTTCTGAGGCAAACAGCATGCAGAGTTACAGCTTCAGGCTTGAATACAGTAAGATTTTACTATATTTATGGAGGCATGAGGGGCGCAAGGGGGCTAGATGGTGGTTTTAACACTATAGGGTCAGAAATATAGGTTTGTATTCCTGACCCTATAGTGATCCTTTAAATGTTTTACCCACTGTGCCACATGCTTGGGTTTTGAAACAAAATTAATTTGTAAATTAATCAATACTGGTATGATAGTTATCAATTTAACAAGGTAAGGATCAGATCCCAGACAATCTTACCATTTGTACCCATACACATATATATACACACGTATATATATATAATAATTCTAAGTAATATTTATGTAATCATTTTGCATAATTTGGTCATTTTATTAATTACAATTTGTGGAACCTGCCTGACAACCCAGACCGAAAGTCCAGGGAATTTAATTTGCTAGCACTATATTTAACCCTGTAACTTTCCAAGACACCATAAAACCTGTACATGGGGGGTACTGTTTTACTCGGAAGACTTCGCTGAAAGCAAATATTAGTGTTTCAAAACAGTAAAATGTATTACAACGATATCGTCAGTGAAAGTGAAATTTTTAGCATTTTTCACACACAAATGGCACTTACACAGACAATGTAATTGTTGTGATACTTTTTACTGTTTTGAAACACTAATATTTGTGTTCAGTGAAGTCTCCCGAGTATAACAGTACCCCATGTACAGGTTTTAGGGTGTTTTCAAAAGTTACAGAGTCAAATATAAGGCTTGCGTTTCAGTTTTTTCCCATTGAAATTCGCCAGATTGGTTACGTTGATTACCCCCATGATGGCATACCATTTGCAAAAGTAGACAACCCAAGGTATCGCAAATGGGGTATGTCCAGTCTTTTTTAGTAGCCATTTAGTCACAAACACTGGCCAAAGTTAGTGTTAATATTTGTTTGTGTGTGAAAAATGCAAAATTGCAAAATTGCTAAATTGGCGTTCAAATTAGTTTTTTTGCATTTTTCACACACAAACAAATATTAAGTGTGGGTGCACATAATATGAAAGAGCTGAATTACGCCTGAACAGACATGTAGCGCAAATTCCAGTTTTTGTTTACGTTTTGTTTTGATCACAACGTGTACATTTGGCTCAGTCCTTAAGGGGTTAAATCACACCCATGCCTATTACACACTACCACACACCCAATTCCCAATTCCACTCTCAGAAAACTCAACACCCATTCAAAAAAAATGAAAGTAAAATTATTGATTGCAGATCAGCTGTAACCAGCACTAAATATAAATAACTCCCTTGAAAATGTATGTATTGATCAGAGAGCCCTTTGATCACACTATTCACCGATACAGTAACATACAGCAGAGATACTCTACAGTACAGTCATCACGCACCAGGAAAGGGGTTAAAAGGAAAAAACTTTGCAGCTGACAAAATGGGTCAAAAATGTATTTTTACCCTAAAATTAATATTAATAGTATCAATGTATTAATCACCCTAGTCAGACTGATCACAGGGTTAATACTGTGATCAGCACGGAGAGGCTTTTCTAATTTATTTATGTTTTAACACTTTTTTTTTACTTTTTCGCACAGTTTACCAATGATCTGCCTCTCTCTCAGATCAAATTGCTGAGAAGAGTGTGGCACAGACAATGTCTCAGCCAATGTTACAAATCACTGTACAGCGCTGCAGAACTTGTTGGCGCTTTATAAATATTAATAATAATAATTGGCTGAGACATTGTTACAGTGATCGAAGTGACACGTGCTCCAGATCGCCATCATTGGATGCAGGTCCCACGAGCGTCATCTGCAGCATGCAAAGGCAGGTGGGTCAGAGGGGGCAACTAAAGCCCTCCAGCTGCAGGGTGGCATAGCACGTCCTAACGGCATTAATGGGTTAAGGGATAAGATGAAGAGTTTCTGTACTCAAGCATATATTATCATTTAGTTGTATTTTCTATGAATAATGATGCTTGCTATGACGACACGTGTGTGGATATTTAAATCTCCATTCTCCTGCCATAACCTGTTTTCATGCTTTCCTGACAATATCCTGATTTAAATGATCCCCATCACTGAGCCATCACTGAAGGTTAAGTCACTCTGTCACCTGACCTGCAAGTACCGGTTAATCAGCATTCTGTCTCAAATGGCTTACCAAAACGTAGGGTCAGCCGTGTCCACATCATCGGCCAGATCCCAGGACTTTCTACGTCTTAACACAACACAGTAACATGCATCACATGATGATTTGTTTTTAAAACCAGCAAGCAAACACTTTTAAACAAATAAACAAACCGAAATAAAGGAAGAAAAAGGTTTAAAAGTATATAATAAGCATTTATAAACTTACTATAAACATGGTCAGATTGCATTGTTGAGGACGCCTCTCAGCTAGGGGAGTTTTTTCAGCTTTACCCCCTCTCCCTAACCCAACCATCTCAGTTTCAGACAGGTCCATTAATGACAGAAACAGAGCATTATTGTGCAGGAGCAAGCAACTCATTCTCCCCGCAACACAGCAAGGAGAGTAAAACCCAATACACGAGCCTGCTCTGCAGAAAACACCATAAACAGGCTGGCAACACAAGCTGTGAAATGATAAGCAGTAAATGCACAATGCCCTTTTTCAGCATTCCTAGGAATAGGACAGTGATTGGTTAGATTAATGTTCCTTCGGGAGTGGGTGTGGAAAGCATAAGAAAGAAGAAGCAGGTAGCTATGAAAAAAATCCTATTTACCTGTTTTCTTTCAGCCTGAGGAGTGAGGTAACAGTTACAAAAGCTAAAGCTTTGGAATGAGACAGTCTCAAAGTGATGTGTCCCTTTAACAGACGGTCACAGCTATCCTACGCAATGATAGGCCAAGTGTGGTCACCTAATGTTTCTAATGCCCGTATAAACCTAACCTGACATATATATATATATATATATATATATATATATATATATATATCATTAACACACTGAATGAGAGGTTCATATATTACATTAATGAGTAATACGACTCCACTCCAGCACATTTACCCTGAGAATCTATCCATTTACCCCCCGAGCCTACCTGTTCCTTTTATAAATCTGTCCACTCGTCCTCAGAATCCAAGAATCTGTCCATTCACCCTCAGAGCCTGCCCATTCATCTTCGAGATCTGTCCACTCGTCCTCAGAATCCGAGAATCTGTCCATTCACCTTCAGAGTCTGCCCATTCACCCTCAGAGTCTGCCCATTCACCTTCGAGATCTGTCCACTCGTCCTCGGAATCCGAGAATCTGCACATTCACCCTCAGAACCTGCCCATTCACCTTTCGAGATCTGTCCACTCGTCCTCAGAATCCGAGAATCTGTCCATTCACCCTCAAAGCCTGCCCATTCACCCTCAGAGTCTGCCCATTCACCTTCGAGATCTGTCCACTCGTCCTCAGAATCCGAGAATCTGTCCATTCACCCTCAGAGTCTGCCCATTCACCCTCAGAGTCTGCCCATTCACCTTCGAGATCTGTCCACTTGTCCTCGGAATCCGAGAATCTGCACATTCACCCTCAGAGCCTGCCCATTCACCCTCAGAGTCTGCCCATTCACCTTCGAGATCTGTCCACTCGTCCTCAGAATCCGAGAATCTGTCCATTCACCCTCAGAGTCTGCCCATTCACCTTCGAGATCTGTCCACTCGTCCTCGGAATCCGAGAATCTGCACATTCACCCTCAGAGCCTGCCCATTCACCTTCGAGATCTGTCCGCTCGTCCTCAGAATCCGAGAATCTGTCCATTCACCCTCAGAGTCTGCCCATTCACCTTCGAGATCTGTCCACTCGTCCTCGGAATCCGAGAATCTGCCCATTCACCCTTAGAGCCTGCCCATTCACCATCAGGATCCATCCACTCGCCCGCATAATCTGAGAATCTGTCCACTCACCCTCAGAATCCGAGAATCTGCCCATTCACCTTAGAGATCTGTACACTCGCCCTCATAATAACGAGAATCTGTCCATTCACCCTCCGAGCCTGCTCATTCACCCTCTTAGCCTGCCCATTGACCTTCAGGATCCATCCACTCGCCCGCATAATCTGAGAATCTGCCCATTCACCCTCAGAGCCTGCCCATTCACCTTCGAGATCTGTCCACTCGTCCTCGGAATCTGAGAATCTGCCCATTCACCTTCGAGATCTGTCCACTCGTCCTCAGAATCCGAGAATCTGTCCATTCACCCTCAGAGTCTGCCCATTCACCCTCAGAGTCTGCCCATTCACCCTCAGAGTCTGCACATTCACCTTCGAGATCTGTCCACTTGTCCTCGGAATCTGAGAATCTGCCCATTCACCTTCGAGATCTGTCCACTCGTCCTCAGAATCCGAGAATCTGCCCATTCACCCTCAGAGTCTGCCCATTCACCCTCAGAGTCTGCACATTCACCTTCGAGATCTGTCCACTTGTCCTTGGAATCTGAGAATCTGTCCATTCACCCTCAGAATCTGTCCAGTCACAATCAGAATCTAAGAACCTGCTTATTCACCATGAAACTTCAGGTGAAGCTCTAAGAGCACCTAGGTGTAGAGATAGCCCAGTGGAAGCAGAAGCTTATTAAACTGTAAAAAAATATGTAAATTTTCTCTTTCCATAGTTATTAAACTGAGGAAGATCCTCCTGACCCAAAGTCAGTTTAGCAATCCTGTGTTCACTATGTGGCTACCATAGTTTGTAGACATTCATCTACAGCTGTGAGATGCTTAGACGGCAAGTTTGTTCATCCAGCCAAATCACCGCCTTCTTAGCTGCCATCCAAACTGAGCTGTTACGGGCCACTGTAATATCTAACAAAATGTTACAATCCAGCATCACCGAACCATAGTCATGGACACTTAAATAGCCAGCTGACACAATGAACACGGTTTTACATCATCCAACCCAACACATTCACATTTTGTGGCACATGGTTACCACTGACACTTGCAAAATCAGAGAGGTGTATACACCATTTAAGACACCCTCCTTATACAGAGCTTCCCCCAAACTATTTTTAATATGTCCTGTAGTCTACACTTTTAATCCTGTCTACTCGAAAAGCAATGTGATTGCTATATAATCACTTGATCCAGTTTGTGTCTGACCCCTCCACCAAATTGACTTAATGGAAAGAATCATAACTGTAAGCTAAGCCAATCTGTTGATTAACCTGGAGGTACTTTTTAATCAGCCTGCTGACAGAAACAGACCCTCAGCTCCTTGTATCTCCAACATAAACCAGAAATAATTCTTCTCCCACCCAAGTGAAATCTTCAGCTTCTCACCTCAGCATCTTTGGCCACATTGCACTATAAGTCCAGCTTATTGACGATAATAAATAATTCAATATCAATGATAATCATGTGTGAAAAAAACAGGAATATTTATCAACATGTTGGCCTCTTACAAACTTATCTTTAATCATTATTTGTATTAGCATTTATTGTGCCAACATGGGCCCCCACACACCACTCTCAGTATATATCACTGAGATACCCGATTGTGAAGGAGATTGTGAGGGTAGTCACCATCACTGGGGCTGAACATGGACACTATGTAAATCCGAGGTTAAACCCCAGGTTATGTCCTGGTCACTCTGTGCCCATTATAGGTGCCAGGTGTGTAAAATGTATTGTTCATTATTAAAGGACCACTATAGGCACCCAGACCACTTCAGCTTAATGAAGTGGTCTGGGTGCCAGGTCCATCTAGGATTAACCTTTTCTGCTGTAAACATAGCAGTTTCAGAGAAACTGCTATGTTTACTTTAGGGTTAATCCAGCCTCTAGTGGCTGTCTCATTGACAGCCGCTAGAGGAGCTTCCACGCTTCTCACTGTGATTATCACAGTGAGAAGATGCCAGCGTCCATAGGCTGGACTGGCTGAATGCACGCGGCTCTTGCCACGCATGCGCATTCAGCCGATGACATGAGAAGAAGGAGGAGAGTCCCAGCTGGAAAAAGGTAAGTGATTAACCCCTTCCTCCCCCTTCAGTGCAGCGGGAGTGGTACCTCTATAGTGC